TGCCTGGAAATATCTTCCACCAGGTACCTTGAGTCATCACGCTCAAGCTCAAACCTCCGCAGACCCCTAAGACATGAGCAGAGTGCAGCGGAGCTCCTAGTTAAGGCAAAGCGCGTGTGGCCGTAACTCCCAGTAAGTTTCTCCTTTCCATCTGAGACCTCATCCTTCCCTGTTCATATCACTATCAGCAAAACCGTTTAACCGGTCTCTGAGACGTTCCAGACTTTCCCTCATCTTCCTCTCTTCTTTTGAGCCTTTCAAGATCTTCCGACCTCTGCCTGTAACCCAGTTGCAAAGTTGCTCCCACATTTTCAGGTATCTTTATAGAATGCCTTTCTCCCTGGTACCAAGTTTCTGTATTAGGCCATTCTGAGGCGGCTCATGCCTGTCACCCCAGCACTTTGAGGGGCTGAGGCAGGTGCATCGCCTGAGGTCAGGAGTTTGAGACCAGCCTGGCCAACATGGAGAAACCCCATCTCTACTAAAAATACAAAAATTAGCTGGACGTGGTGGTACATGCCTGTAATTCCAGCTACTAGGGGGGCTGAGGCATGAGAATGGCTTGAACCTGGGAAGCGGAGGTTGCAGTGAGCCAAGATTGTGCTGCTGCACTCCAGCCTTGGTGACACAGTGAAACTCTGTCTCAAAAAAAAAAAAAAAAAAAAAGAAGGAAGGAAGGAAGACCTGAGACTGGATAATGTATAAGAAAGAAGTTTAATTGGCTCATAGTTCTGCAGAATGTACAGGAAGCATAGTGGCATCTGCTTCTGGGGAGGCCTCAGGAAACTTCCGATCATGGTGGAGGCAGAGCAGGAACAGACGTATCACATGGCAAAAGCAGAAGCAAGAGAGGGGTGGGGGGAGGTGCCACACATTTCCAAGCAACCTGATCTGATGACTGCCGTGGGGACAGCGTCAAGCCATGAGGAATCCACCTCCATGGTCCAGTCACCTCCCCCCAGGCGCCACCTGCAGCATGAGATTTGGGTGGGGGGTGGGGGATGAATATCCAAACTGTGTTACGGACACACCCAGAAATAGCGCTTTTCCAGCTATCTGGGTATCACTTAATCTAGCCAAGTTCACACCCAAAGTTAACATCACATCCCCCAAAGCATCATTTCTGGGTGTGTCTGTATGGGTAGGTTTGGAAGGATTGTCACTTGGATTCCTTACTCAATCCAGGCATTGAGTAAGGAAGAGCTACCCTCACCCGATGTGGGTGGGCACCATCCGATAGGTCAAGCGCCCAGGGAGAGAAAAAGGCAGGGAATGACGAATTCGCCCTCTCTCCAGAGCTGGGAAACCCACCTTCTGACCTTGGATGTCGGAACTCCGGGCTCTCCAGCCATTGCCCTCTGGGATTCTCACCAGGAGCCATCCCACCACCACCGGTTCTCAGGCCTTTGGCCTTGGACTGAGGGTTACACAGTCTGCTCCCCTAGTTCTGAGGTCTGCGGACTTGGACTGAGCCCCGCCACCAGCTTCTATAGGTCTCCAGCCGGTTGTGAGACGTCTCAGCTGGAATAATCATGTCAGCCGACTCCCCTCATAAATCCTCTCGTATGTCTACATGTAGATATCCTGTGGTTCTGGCTCTCTGGAGGGTGCTGACTAATACCTGGGTTTACAAGTTTAGAGAAACAGCCAACTCTGGCCCCTGCCCCATAGCTGGTCTTGGCCACAGCTGACATGGTCCCCGTTCCTTTCTGATTCACGCTGGGTTCCCTCCCTGGTCCCCGTTCCTTTCCGATTCACACTGGGTTCCCTCCCTGGTCCCCGTTCCTTTCTGATTCACACTGGGTTCCCTCCCTGGTCCCCGTTCCTTTCTGATTCACACTGGGTTCCCTCCCTGGTCCCCGTTCCTTTCTGATTCACACTGGGTTCCCTCCCTGGTCCCCGTTCCTTTCTGATTCACACTGGGTTCCCTCCCTGTCAGTGGGCACCTCTGCTGGTCTCTGTGACCTACCCAGTGGGCCAACTGGGACCCTCCTCAGTGAGGGGTCTGAGGACATGGTCACCTGCTCAGGCCATGGCTACTGCTACTGTACGTGTCCACTCTCCAATAAAACAGGTGAGGGATCACCAAGCTCCCCATGCTCCACCGCTTGGATTACCAGGCACCACATTTATCCTTCCCTGCCCCATCTCGGAGTTGCAGTCCCACTGCCTCCCGGCGGTCATGGCCTGTCTCCCTCCCAGTCTGGGGGCTCCTTGTCATGACTGTTGGTCTCCATGGACAAATAACCCCACGTGACAAGGCATCCGTTGTAGCCTAAAGTTTAGTGGGACTCCTATCTGTCCACTCATGGAGTGGTCCCCTGTGGAAGCCACGACCCCTCACTGGAGCCCAGAATAGAGGGAACAACAGGCACAAAACCCCCGCAGGTTGCCGGCGGTGGTGGTACAGCCACTGCTGCTTCTGGCCCTTGAATCCCAGGCTTGTTGGGGACATAGCACCCCATGGTGGCTGTGGAGTTAGAGTGATTACTGCATTCCACAATGTGACACCCCATCCTTGAATAGTATCACCCCCATGCTGGGGCCTCCATGGGGCTCTGAAAAGGCTGCTCCCCTGCTTTGTAGTACTGGCTGCTTCTAAGTGGTATGTGCTGTGATAGGACCAGCAGATGCCATGGCCACGTGCCATGTGCCATGTACTGCGGCTGCGCCTCCCCCTGTGTTGTAAAGTGGGTCCTTTGGTCCAAGGCACTGCTATGCAGGCCCTGTGTGGGTGGATCAGCACTTAATAAGTCCTGGGGTCAACCTGGGGTATGTGTCAATTCTAGTGGTGTTGAATTGCTGCCCCCAGTGGGACGGATGCTTCTGTTGCCTGGTCAGCTTTCTCTATGGATAGTGCCCAATGGGGGTGCTGCAGCAGCCCACGTTGCAGATAGGTTGGGCATTTGTGGCAGCGGTGGCTAGACCAGCCTTGGTGGGGAGAGCTGTGCTACTGGTTCCATGGTCAGCCCCCGTTTCTACCACCACATGCACCCAGTGGGCAAGCACTTGGGTGGCCAGGGACAGAGGCTGGCCAAAGGCAAGGGGTGCGGCTGTTCCATCTAACTGGTTACTTAATGGCTCCCTGGTAGATGTGCTCTGTGGATGCTCCGTGGTGGAGGCTCTCTGTGGATGCTCCCTGGTGGATGTTCTCTGTAGATGCTCCCTGGTGGATGCTCTCTGTGGATGCTCCCTGGTGGATGCTCTCTGTGGATGCTCCCTGGTGGATGCTCTCTGTGGATGCTCCCTGGTGGATGCTCTCTGTGGATGCTCCCTGGTGGATGCTCTCTGTGGATGCTCCCTGGTGGATGCTCTCTGTGGATGCTCCCTGGTGGATGCTCTCTGTGGATGCTCCCTGGTGGATGCTCTCTGTGGATGCTCCCTGGTGGATGCTCTCTGTGGATGCTCCCTGGTGGATGCTCTCTGTGGATGCTCCCTGGTGGATGCTCTCTGTGGATGCTCCCTGGTGGATGCTCTCTGTAGATGCTCCCTGGTGGATGCTCTCTGTAGATGCTCCCTGGTGGATGCTCTCTGTGGACGCTCCCTGGTGGATACTCTCTGTGGATGCTCCGTGGTGGACGTTCTCTGTGGACGCTCCCTGGTGGATGCTCTCTGTAGACGCTCCCTGGTGGATGCTCTCTGTGGACGCTCCCTGGTGGATACTCTCTGTGGACGCTACCTGGTGGATGCTCTCTGTTGGGAATGAACACGTGATACCGAGCTCTTCACCTCTCATGGCCACTCCTGTGGGTTCATTCATGTGCCTCCTGTCCTGGGGTGATGGGCAGAATAATGATGTCCCCCAAAAGGTGTCCAGGGTTCCTTTTAAGTAAGGATGGAATAGAACTCATCCGCCCACTGATGGCTGCTTAACACGTTCCCCATTCCATACCCCTCTGCTCCAGCAAATACACAGCACAGCTGGCACAGCGACAGTCATTGGGGTACTGCCGGGTAGGGTTTGGGAGAAGCTGTACATATACACAGGGGCTTATTAGGAGGAAGTGGCTCCTGTGATTATGGATGTAAGAAAGTACCTCCACCTGCCACGCGCAACCTGGAGACCCAGGAGAGCTGACGGTGTAAGCTCCAGTCTGAGTGTGAAGGCAAAAGCCTGGTATCCCTGCTTAAAGACAGGCAGCTCTCGGAGCGGGGATATCACTCATGCTGAAATTTGATCCCCAATGTTGGAGGTGGTGGCTAGTGGGGGTGCTTGGGTTGTGAGGGCAGATCCCTTGTGGATGGCCTGGTTCCACCCTCATGGCAGTGCCTGAGTTCTCACTCTGAGTTCCCCTGAGAGCCCGTTGTTGAAAACAACCTGGCAGCCCCCTGCTCACTTGTTTCCTCTCACCATTTGATCTCTGCACACACCGGCTCCCTTTCATCTCTGGCCATGAGTGGAAGAAGCCTGAGGCCCTCAGCAGCAGCAGATTTAGGCGTTATGTTTTCTATACAGCCTGCAGAACTGTGAGCCAATAAACCGCTTTGTCAATGACCTCATCTCAGTATTCCTTTATAGCAACATCACAGACTGAGAGAGGCAGGAAGAGCCAATTTTCTCTTTATCTCTTGTTTGAGTCAGATTTTGAACCAATTGGTTGAGGTCCACCTTCACTGGAGAGAGCCACCTGCCTTTCTTAGTCCACAGATTGGAATGCTAAGCATATCCAGAAGCACCCTTGCAGACACACCCAGGGTAATGTCTAGCCAAATATCTGGGCACCCCATGGCCCAGTGAAGCGGACACGTAAAATTTCCCATCACAAGTTGACAGTCGCCTGTTAGCATCCTCCGGGAAATGGGGCATGCATCTGTAGTCCTAGCGACTTGGGAAGCTGAGGGGGGAGGATCCCTTGAGCCCAGGAGTTTGAGGCTGCAGTGAGCCATGAGTGCACCACTGCACTCCAGCCTGGGTGACAGAATGAGGCCCTGTCTCAAAATAAATAAATAAAGCGAGTGAACAGTGAGTGAGTTCATGACAGTGGGTCCTAATCTCGTAGGACTGGAGTTTTACAAGAGGAGATGAGGACACGGGCACGGACTGGGGGAAGACCCTGTGAGGATACAGAGAGAAGCCGCAGTCATCTGCAAGCCAAGAAGAGAGGCCTGGGGAGGAGCCAGCCTGGCAGAGCCTTCATCTTGCACGCCAGCCTCCGGGACGCTGAGACCGTGAGTCTGTTGTGTAAGCCACCCTGTCTGCGGTGCAGACAAATGCACTTAGGGTCAGCTCGTTGGTCCTGAAGCTTGTGAGCAGCACGGGGGTAATGATCTGGCACTGCCTCCCAGGAAGCTCACGAGAGGGTCACGTCCTGTTCTCCCGGACAGCGCTCCGATGTCGACACACTCTCCCTTCTCTAACTTTCCATTTCCCCGCGACCCTGCGGCTCCGGGGCTGACTCCGAGGCGCTCCTACGTCCTGACTGGTTCCTGCAGCTTCGAGGCCCGGTCCTCTTTCTATCTTCCCCAGCTCTGAACTTCCGGCAGCTTTCGGACTGAGCATCTCCGTCGTGAAGCGGGAGGGTCTGTGGAACCCCACCCCTTTCCAAGGACAGAAGCTGTTTGCGATGGTTCATTTGGTCTGGCAGCCTGACCGGGCCATGCGATGTCCAGATACTTGGTCAGGCAGTATTCTGGGTGTGTCTGTGGGGAGATGAGCGTTTGCTCAGGGGACGGTGTGAAGCAGCTTGGGGACAGTGTGCGTGGGCCTCGTCCAACCCACTGAAGGCCTGCATAGAACGGGAAGGATGCGTGGGAGAGAAGTCCTCCCACCTGGCTGAGCTGGGACATTGGTTTTTTTCTGTCTTCAGATTCAAACTGAAGCATTGGGTCTTGTTGGGTCTGGAGCCTGTCGGCTTTCAGACTGGAGCTTGTCCCCTCGGCCCTCCTGGGTCTCCAGGTTCCCAGCTGCAGATCTTGGGACTTCTCAGCCTCTGTAACTGTGTGGGCCAAGTCCTTACAATGATCTCTGTCTGCGTAGACATACACGTCCTACTGGCTCGGTTTCTCTGGAGAATCCCGACTGTTCCTCAGCCTCCTTGGAACTGTTCCAGAGCCCTGATGTTGGCCTGGGAGTCGATTCTGGTGGAATTTACCCACGTGCTTGGAGCTGGACGTGCAGAGTTTGCACAAGACCACCTCACGCTGAGACCGTGAGTCTGTTGTGTACTTCTTCTCCCACCCAATTCCTGTGTCCATCCCAGCTGGGACAAGCAACACTACACCAGGGTCCCCAGATCCCTGACCTCCCCTGTCCAGCAACCTTCATTTCCCCCACTGTGCCCGTCACCACCCCTGGGGTCTCTTTAATCTTGGATTGCTTCTGCTCTGAGATTTAAAGTCCAAACCTTGCATCCCTTCCACACCTCCAGGCCCTCCGTGTCTGCCTTGCCCACCTGCTTCGCCGGGAGCTCCCCACTCAGCCGCACTGCCTGCTTCCCTTGCTGCACTTCTGTGTCTACACAGCGGGGACACCTGGTCCTTCACTTTAATCACACCCTTGCCCGTGTCCTGAACTCCTCTGTTGGTTGCAGCAGCCTTTATATATTTATTATTTATTTATTTTGTGATGGAGTCTCACTCTGTCGCCCAGGCTGGAGTGCAGTGGCATGATCTCGGCTCACTGCAACCTCCACCTCCCTGGTTTAAGCCATTCTCCTGCCTCAGCCTCCCGAGTAGTGGGACTATAGGTGCACACCACCACACGTGGCTCATTTTTGTATTCTTAGTAGAGATAGGGTTTCCCCATGTTGGCCAGGATGGTCTCGATCTCTTGACCTTGTGATCTGCCCACCTTGGCCGTCAAAGTGTTGGGATTACGGGAATGAGCCACCGCACTCAGCCCGGAACAGCCTTCACATTGCCCTGGAGGGCTTGTTAGACACGGATTGCTAGGCCACAGCATCCCTGATTTGGGAAGCCCGGGCAGGGCCTGAGAACCTGCATTTCGGCCACATTCCCAGGTGATGCAGCTGGCCCAGGAACCACGCCTTGCATGTAGGCTACGTTGCAGTAACAATACACCCTGAGGTCTCAGGTTTATTTTTCACTTGCATACGGTGGTCGAGTGACTCTTCATCTTTCAGCTGACTTTGGGAACATGTGGCCTGGAAGGTCACCTGGGAAAGGTGTAAGGTCCCTCCATGCCACGGATGCCATGGCGGTCCCCGTGACCCGCACGTACACCTCTGGATGGCCTCCCGGAATCAGAAGATCTGAGAAGGCGAAGAAATGATTAACCCCTGAGGTGCCTACTTAACTTTGAGACCTTCTCTATTCTTCCTTATTCCCGCCCCAATTGATAAGGTTGGACTGTGTAACGGACCTTGGTCAACCTCATGACTCCACACCCTACAACCCCCTCCCAGGTTGCAAAAGAAATGCCCAAAAATGTAACTTCTTTTTTTTTTTTTTGAGACAGAGTTTCGCTCTTGTTACCCAGGCTGGAGTGCAATGGCGCCATCTCGGCTCACCACAACCTCCTCCTCCTGGGTTCAGGCAATTCTCCTGCCTCAGCCTCCCGAGTAGCTGGGATTACAGGCACGCACCACCATGCCCAGCTAATTTTTTGTATTTTTAGTAGAGACGGGGTTTCACCATGTTGACCAGGATGGTCTCCATCTCTTGACCTCGTGATCCACCCACCTCGGCCTCCCAAAGTGCTGGGATTACAGGCGTGAGCCACCGTGCCCGGCAAAAACTGTTAACTTCTGTAACTTTCCACGGTTTACCACCCCCAAACCTGTAAAACCGACTGCTGTTCCTCTGGCCTCCGCTGACTCCCCTTTCGGACTCAGCCGACCTCCACCTGGGTGAATAAACAACCATGTTGTTCACACAAAGCCTAGAGGGTCTCTGCATTCAGAGGGTGCATTTCAACATTTGGTGCCAGAAATCCGGGATGGGGTACTCCTTTGGAGAGACCAGCCCCCGATCCCCACTTTCCCTCTGTGAAGAGACCCACCTGAGACCTCAACACATCAGACCAGACTGACCCAGTAGCTTACGCTTGGCGGCCAAACCACTCTCCAGCCACCTGCAGATCAGGTAAGCAGCCTCCCCCTCGTTCTCTCTCTTTTCCTTTAAATCTTTCTCCTTCTAGTAGACACAAAGAGATGCTACCTGTGTAGAGCTGGAGGAGACAAGTCTCTCCCTCGTTCTCTCTCTTTTCCTTTAAATCTTTCTCCTTCTAGTAGACACAAAGAGACGCTACCTGTGTAGAGCTGGAGGAGACAAGTCTCTCCCTGTCGCTGAACTCCGATGTCAGTCACAGACTCAGGAAGACAGTCTCCCCTTGGTGTCTGGTCAATCTCGGGGACGCCTGCCTTGATCACTCACCCACGTCACAGCCCGGGAATCAGTCAGGGATGCCCCTCTCCTTTCCCTAAAACGTACCCCCTTCGCTATGGGCAATGTTCCGCCCTCTGTGCCTCGTCTTCGGCTCTAGCCTGCATCCTAAAAAACCTAACGCCTCTTCAACTGTTGCCCAGTCTGAAAGCTAAATGTCTCATTTGTTTAACGTAAACCGCCTGGCCTCCATACAAACTAGACGATGGTTCCAAATGGCCAGAAGACGGCACTTTCAAGTTTTCCATTCTGGAGACCTAAACAATTTCTGTATATAAGTGGGCAAATGGTCTTAAGGAGCCAGACGTCCAGGCACGTTTTTACATTCTGATCCCCCGCTAGTCTCTGCTCCTTCTCTTTCTTCCGTCTGCCCCTCCTGCCTCCGCCAGTAACCCAGAATCCTCCTTGTCCATCTACCCTTCTGACCTTTCTCTCCCCCACCTGTCCGAACCAGGCCCCAGTCCAGCTCCAGCCCCTGCCCCCCCAGAGCCTCCCTCCTTTGCCTCTGCCCACTACCCACCTCCTTACGCCCCTCCTGTCACCTCCTCAACTCATACCTAGTCCGGCTGACAGTGTAATCCTGCAGCCAGCTCCTCCACCCCTGCCTAACAATTCCCCCTTCGAGAGGCGGCTGGAGCCAAAGGCGCACTCAGGGTGCACGTTCCTTTCTCTCTATCCGCGCCCGGGTGAATAAACAGCCATGTTGCTCACACAAAGCCTGTTTGGGGGGGTCTCTTCGTTCAGCGTGTATGTTTTAACAAAACGGAAGAGCCATTAGGAAGTAGCTGACATTGCTTCCTCTCATATCCCACGGGTCAGAATTCGGTCACATGACCCCCATGTGACCACACGAACCATGGGTGTGACTGGGAAAGGCAGTCTTTCCGTTTGTCTAGGAGGGAGAAATGGTGAACATAAGGTATCGTCTCTTCCGCCATCCACCCCTCTGTGGACCAGCCGAAGCCCACCCAGTCACTACTCCGCCTCCAGGCCCAGCAGCTCTGATGGATGAGCACATCAGGTTTGGATAGGCCTTCTCTTGGCCCAGCAACCTATGGATTTCAACATTAAGTTCTCTGTCCCCCCCGTGACAGACTGTCTTTGTGATCCTGCTCTCTCCCCCTTTCCTGTGCCCAAGGCCAGCCACGACTTGCTGGCATGGGACTGCGCCCAGCCAAGATGAGTCCAGCAGAGCCCAGACACATGAGCAGGAAAAGGTGGCCGTTGTGTGCCATGGAGACTGTGTGGTTGCGTGTCAATCTGTGTGTCTCATGGTGGCCACGTCCTCCTTCACAGAGCCGGCTTCTGTATTAGTCAGGCCAGGCCAGGCTGTGTTGTGGTAGCAATCAGAGCCCCCCAAACCCAGCTGCTGGCAGGAGAGTGAGTGTCGGGGACTGGAGTGATGGTTGCTAGGGATAGTGAACCCCAAGTTTCTCTTCAAAGCATCAGTACGTCAGTATGTTCTATTCTCTTATTCTTTAATTCTCTATTTTAGAGTTTAACTTCCTTGCTGTTTCAGCAAACAAGCTTTTCCACCAGTTCTGATCAGTAGTTCACATCTGTTTCCCTGGTCCCCTGCCCCACCCAGCTCATTCTGTCACCTGCTCTGACCCCTGCTTACCCGCTCTGACCTGCCGTAACCGTCCTTCCCACCGAACTACCCACCCGCCACTCCGGCTCACACCCCTGCTCCCTTTAAAACAGCCGGTCAGAACTAGACTAGACTGTGTGGTCTCACCCTAGCCAATAGGGGAACGACACAGCAGTAGGGGCGCCCTCCGTCAGGACACAAGGACCCCTTCCCCTCCTTGTCCAGGTGTGTGCTCGCCATTGCGCCATCTGCAAGCCTCACCGTCGTGTGGAAGTAAGCTGCCTTGTGAAGGAAATCTATATTCGACTGCTACTTCTGCGGCATCAAAAATTCGACTTATAACATGGGGACTTGGTGGTGCCAGAGAAGCAAGCTTGCTAAAATCACTCCTGGTGACCTGGCAGGCTGAATGCAAGAAGGCTCAGCCAGGAGCCCAAGGGGCAAAGTGGAAGACACCACACTGTGAGTGCTGTGTCAGGTCCGGTAGCAGGAGACAGAGACTCAGCTTACAAGCAGAGTTGAAAGTGGACAGAGAGATGGACCCAGAAATTCAGAGCGCTGCAAGGGCAGAAAAGCCAATCGCTCCAAGCCTTAGGATTTTAACAAGCTTTGTGAGCCAAAGGCCCGATAAATCGCCTGAGTTGGACTGATCAACACAAGACAAAGATGGGATTAAGGGCCGTTCAAGCCTGAGCGCCTCTGACAGCCGCCACTGAGTTGACTGAGAGCAGATACACCCTGAAACTGGAGTCTCCTGTGTGCAGCAGTCACGGCTCACTGTGTTCTGAAAGTTTGTGTCCCTCCAAAAGTCCTGTTCAAACCCAGTCCCCAAAGCCACGGTAGTAAGAGGGGGTGCCTTTGGAAGGCGATGAGACCGTGGGGGCTTCACCCTCATGTGTGGGATCAGGGCCCTGTAAAAGAGTGAGGGATGAGCTTGGTGCCTGTGTGCCCTTTCACCTTCTGCCACGTGAGGATGTGGCAAGAAGGTCCTCTGAGACACCACCTCCAGGGCCAGATTCCCAGCCTCCGAGACTGTGAGCAGTCGATTTCTACGATTTATGAACTACCCATTCTGTGGTGTTTTGTTAGAGCAACACAGACCGACAGACATTGGTACCGGGCAGTGGGGCTGTTGCCATAACAGACACCTGGAAGTGTGGCGGCAGAGCCGGAACCGGGTCACGGAGAGGCCGGACCCGTTCTGCGGTGCACGCTGGAAACTGCACATTTCTGTGAATGGAGGTGGTGCCGGGGTGACCCAGTGCGGGCCGGGGAGGGCGGGGCTGCAGAGAGAGCCTCCGGGTCCGCAGCGGTGATCTCAGTGGTCGTGAACGGAATGCTGGTGGAGCCTCACAGTCAGGGCCATCCTCGTGAGGTCTTCCACAGACGTGAGAACTCTCTGATTGGAAACTGGGGGAGGGCCGTCCTTTTTACAAAGCGGCAAAGAACTTGGCTGAATTGCGTCTGAGCCCTGGGGCTCCGTGGGAGGCAGGATTTAAAGCGATGAACTAGAAGAGCTGGTGGGAGAAATCGCTAAGCAAAGCGCTCTGGCTTCTGTTGACCGCTCACAGCCAGAGGCGAGGAAAGAGAGGTGCGGTAAAGACATTGATAGCAGAAGGAACAGACTGGAAAGACTGGGACAACTCTCAGCCGGCCCACGTCAAGGATAAGGAAGTGTGTTCAGGAGAGAACAGCAAGGGCGTGGCCGGACAAATCTGGATCAGATTAGTGTGGATAGAAGGATGCTGGGAGCTGCTCATCAAGCCAACAGGAGAATGACCCCCGAGGCAGTTTGGAGATCTTCCCGGCTGTCATGCCCATTACAGGCTCAGAGTGCCAGGGCTTTAGGGCAGAACGGCTTCAAAGGAAGAGCCCGGGGCCTCCGTGAGACCTTGGGGTGTGCTGTCCAGCCCTGCCTCAATCTCTTTTCCTCTTGCAAGCTGGTGCATCACTCCTGGCCCAGCCATGTGACCCAGCGGAGGCTCACATGGGTCCAGGTGTTCCTTGGGCTGCCAGCCCAGAAGGTGCAGGCAGTAAACCTCTATGGTGTCAGCACGGTGCCAGCTCTGCAGGTGTGCAGAGTGCACAAGCTGTGGAGGAAAGGCTCCTCCTCCTGGATTCCAGTGGGTGTCATGGAAAGCCTGGGGCCCAGGCAGAGAACTGCCACTGGGTTGGGCCATGGAGAGTTCCCAAAGGACAATGCCTAGTTGTGCCAAGGAAGCAGAGGACACCCCAAGACTCCAGATGTGCAGAGTCACCAGCATGCACCAGCAGCCTGGGAAAGCCACAGGCACACGAAGCTGTAGGTGTGAGGCCACCAGCAGCCTTGGGGGTCCAATCCTTGCCCCAGTGTGTCCAGAAGGTAGGACAAAGAGTCAAGGACAATTATTCTTAAGCTTTAAGATTTAATTTTTCCCCGTTGGGTTTTGGATTTGGTCGTGTTCAGTCACTGCTTTCCTTCTGGTTTCTGGTGTTTGGGATGGAATTGTCCATCCTTAGCCTGTGCCGCTGTCCGTTTTCCGGTAGCACCTGCATGTCGGGCAGACCATCTCCAAGTATGCCCAGAGCCTTCTCTTCCTGTGTCAGCTGATCAGAGGGAACTCCCCACGTGGCAAGAGATGCAGGTGGCAAGAGAGAAGGAACTGGGGCGGGGGTGGGGGCCACAGGCGTTTAGGCCACTGATTCATGTCACTTACTTGTGCCTTCAGGACCTGCTTGAACCTGGTCACATACTCATCACTGTCACTCACGTGGAGTGCTGCTGTGAGCACCCAACTTTATAGCAAGTGGGTCAGATAAGCTTTAGATCATCATGGGCCACTCAGGTCATGTGGCAAGTTGGTGGCCCTTGGTTAAGTGTTTAGTTTCTATGAAGACCTAGAAGCAGGGTGATACAGTTAGGCTTTGTGTCCCCACCCAAATCTCATCTTTTTATTTTTTTATTGTTTTTATTGAGACGGAGTTTCGCTCTTGTTACCCAGGCTGGAGTGCAATGGCACGATCTCGGCTCACCGCAACCTCCGCCTCCTGGGTTCAGGCAATTCTCCTGCCTCAGCCTCCCGAGTAGCTGGGATTACAGGCACGCGCCACCATGCCCAGCTAATGTTTTGTATTTTTAGTAGAGATGGGGTTTCACCATGTTGACCAGGATGGTCTCGATCTCTTGACCTCATGATCCACCCTCCTTGGCCTCCCAAAGTGCTGGGATTATAGGCGTGAGCCACCGCGCCCGGCCCCAGTCAAATCTTGAAGTGTAATTCCCACATGTTAAGGGAGAGACCTGGTGGGAGGTGACTGGCTTATGGGGGCTGTTCCCCCCCATGCTGTTCTCATGATAGTGAGTTCTCACGCACGAAATCTGATGGTTTTACAAGTGTTTGGTAGTTCCTCTCTTGCTCGTTCTTCTCCCACTAGCCGCCATGTAAAACATGCCTACTTTCCCTTCCACCGTGATTGTAAGTTTCCTGAGGCCTCCCCAGCCATGCAGAACTGTGAGTCAATTAAGCCTCTTTCCTTTATAAATGACCCAGTCTTGGGTATTATCTTTGTAGCAGTGTGAAAAAGACAGACTAAAACACAGTTCAAGACCTGTTTCCCAAAAGGAGAGTGGTTATCCGTGGATGATGACAGGGCCTTTCTCCAAAATCCTAAGGGCCCGAGCTGTGAGTCACCAACCTGGGCTTGGCAAAGACTGCACACAGTGTCCCTGCCTGCCACTGACACCTCAGGCTGGAACTGCTGGGTCGTGTGGTCCATGTGGCGGAGCAGCTTGCACGGAGCCTGGACCTGCTGCTGGACCACGTTCAAAAGTAGCAGCTTTGAAATCACTCAGTAGGTGGCCAGAGTCTGACACCTAAATGAGGAAGAACCCGTCTTCTTCACATCGAACGGGCCCACGTGATGTTGGTCTCTCCTGGCTGTAAGAGGGTTCAGAGGTAACAACCTATGCATCACCCTGGAGCAGGCCCCACACCACCCGGCTCCTAGAAATCTCACCGAGGTAGAAGGCTCTGAATCTTAGTGGGATGCATTTCCCACTCTCTGACACCAATAAGTATAGAACAATTGCTACTTCCTGTGCCTTATGTCCAACTAGCATACTGTTTTCAGCGTAATGGGCCAGTGTGACATGCTGGGGAAGGGAAGGGTGATCCAGACCCCGAGAATTACCTCCGACACAGGCTGGGGAGGTGAGAGACCTCTGAGGTGGAACGGAGAGGGTGCGCTGTTGGCCGGGCTTCTGCTTGGCCCTGTAGACAGGGGTGGAGAAGAAAGCATTGGTAGGTCATTGGCAGTGTCTCAGGTAGCAGAAGATGTGCCACTTCGCTCAAACAATGGAGCCACGTCTGGCTCAGCAGCTGCAGCTGGAGTCAAGCTTAGGTCAATCCCCTGTCATTCTCCAGGGCCCGCCTGTCTTCCCTACTGGCCACATAGGTGAGTGAAGCGGGGCCGAGGTGGGGATCACTGCCCCTTCATCTTTCAGTCATTTGATGGTGGCACTAACCTCCGAAATTCCTCCGGAAATGCAGCTTTGGACTGATTATTTTTGTATCGCTTTTGGCTCTCTATTTTCCTAGGTAGAGGCAGCTCTAATGGCTTCCACTTGACCCACCACAGTAACCCTCACTCCACATGTCAGGACACCCATGTGGGGACACGGCCAGTGGCTGAAGACAGGTGTGCACAGCGTAAGGATGCTTTGGTTGAGAATGGGTACGAGTATGATGGTGGTGCCATAGATTATCATGGAGCTGACAATGTCCTGTCGCCTGGTGACATTGCAGCACAGTGCGTTTTGCATTAGTCCTTTCTCACACTGCTAACAAAGGACATCCCCAAGCCTGAGCAATTTATAAAGGAAAGAGGTTTAATTGACTCACAGTTCAGCATGGCTGGGGAGGCCTCGGGAAACTTACAATCACGGTGGAAGTGGGAGCAGACAGGTCCTTCACATGGTGGCAGGAAGGAGAAGTGCCAAACAAAAGGGGGAAAACCCCTTATAAAACCAGATCTTGAGCCAGCTCACAGAACCAGACTCCCTTAAATCAAGATAAGGCTGGGTCTTCTCTGAGAGAACTCACACACTACCAGGAGAGCGGCGTGGGGGTAACCACCTCCATGATTCAGTCACCTCCCACCAGGTCCCTTTCACAACACGTGGGGATTGTGGGAACTACAATCCAAGACGAGATGTGGGCTGGGAAGCAGCCAAACCATGTCAATTACTCATGTGTTTTGTGGTGGCGCTGGTATAAGTCAACCTGCCGTGCTCCCAGTCATATAAAATTGTCTAGCACATACACTGGACAGTGATAACAAACCACGCTGCTGGTTGATAGACTCACTACACTTCGTACTGTTGTTTCACAGTGTACTCCGTCTACTTACGTAGAAAACGAGTTAAATGTAAAACCGCCTCAGCCAGTTTCCTAAGGAGGTGTCCGGAATAAGGCGCTGTTATCACCGGAGGTGACAGTTCAATGCATGCCGCTGCCCGTGAAGACCGTGCAGTCACAAGACTGGACAAGGTGTGACAGTGGAAGAAGTGAAACTGATGATCTTCACCCTGTGTAGGCCAAGGCTCATGTGTGTGTTTGTGTCTTTGCTTATTTTTTTTTTTTAACTTACTTTTTTTTAAATTGTACTTTAAGTCCGGGGTACATGTGCAGATCGTGCAGGTTTGTTACGTAGGTATTCACGTGCCATAATGGTTTGCTGCATCCATTCCCCCGTCATCCACATTAGGTATTTCCCCTGACCCCCCAACCCCTGCTGTCCCTCCCCTAGCCCCCCACCCCTCGACAGGTGCCAGTGTGTGGTGTTCCCCTCCCTGTGTCCATGTGTTTTCATTGTTCAACACCCACTTATGAGTGAAAACATGAGGTGTTTGGTTTTCTGTTCTCGTGTCAGTTTGCTGAGAATGATGGTTTCCAGCTTCATCCATGGCCCTGTGAAGGACATGAACTCATCCTTTTTTATGGCTGCATAGTATTCCATAGTGTATATGTGCCGCATTTCCTTTATCCAGTCTATCATTGTGTCTTAGTTTTTAGCAAAAAAGTTTAAAAGTAAAAAAAAAAAATACATAATTAGGCAGGAAGGTATTAGAGTGGCCTGCACATTTTACCCTACATCAGTGGGCTCCACCCCACAGCCTAGGTGGGCAGTAGTCTCTCTCATCTAGGTGTGTGTAAGTATATCCTATGATGTTCACACAACGGTGAAATCCCCTGATGGCGAAATCTCCTAAGGATGCATTTCTCGGAACGTACCCATCATTGACACACGGAATAGGCAGTATGTCTATTCCGACTATGCAGTCTGTAACCTGCGGAAGAACCAACAGTGGGTTTGGGAATCCCCTGAGCCAAGAGTGAGATCAACCTGACCTGAAGTCCACCCATCGCCTCATGCCCCACGAGCCCCTGCTCTGACTGCAGGGCCACAGGGACACTTCCAGTCTTCTAGAATCAGTGTGGGTTCAGAGCCAGTGTCCAGCAGTCCTCAGTAAATCTGATTATTTCGTCCCCCCGCCCCGTGCATAGTTACCCTGGGAAAGCATGAGGAGGCTGGGGGAAAGAGCAACAGTATCAATCCTTCCTGGGGAAGACCCAGCCTCCTTTTGATTTAAGGAGTCTGGGTAAGCGGGCTCAAGACTGTGAATTGACTGAAGGACTGTTGACTCTCTGCTTTTATGATTCAGGCTAGAGTTCTGTCCGTCGAACCTGGGAGTTTTCTGCTTGCTCAGATCCAGTAAGAATTTGGTAGGCTTCCTGTCTATTTTACTTTGTGGACAAAAAAAGCACTAAACGCTGTAAAATATGTAAAGAGGTTTATTGTGAGCCAGAGGCACAGTCTCAAGAGGTCCTGAGAACAGGAGCCCAAGGTGATGATTGGGTTGCACCTGGGTTTTTGTTTTTTTTTTTTTTGAGATGGAGTTTCGCTCTTGTTACCCAGGCTGGAGTACAATGGCGCGATCTCGGCTCACCACACCCTCGACCTCGTGGGTTCAGGCAATTCTCCTGCCTCAGCCTCCTGAGTAGCTGGGATTACAGACACGCGCCACCACGCCCAGCTAATTTTTGTATTTTTAGTAGAGACGGGATTTCACCATGTTGACCAGGATGGTGTCGATCTCTTGACCTCGTGATCCACCCACCTCAGCCTCCCAAAGTGCTGGGATTACAGGCGTGAGCCACCGCACCCGGCCATGCACCTGGGTTTTATACATTTTAGGGAGACATCCATCAATACATGTGAGGTTTCTCCGGGTTCAGTCTGGAAAGGCTGGACAACTCAAAGTGGGCAGTGTGGACTTCCAGGCCACAGCAGATTCAGAGTTTCTGATTGACAATTGGTTGAAAGAAGTTGTGATCTAAAGACCTGGAATCAATAGAAAGGAGTGCCTGGGGTAAGACAAGGGGTGGTGGAGACCAAGGTTCTTATTATGTAGATTGAGTCTCACAGGTGGCTGCCCTGAGAGACAGACGTTAGAGGACAGATGTTTCCTATTCAGACCTTTGAAGGGTGCTAGAGTCTCAGTTAAACTCTTCAGAACTGGGAAAGCCCGAAAAGGGAAATATTTAATTATATTAGAGACTCCTTAAAAATGCAAATTTCCTTCCACAAAAGACAGTGTTGCAGGGCCAGCTCAAAATATGGCAAAACACATATTTTGGAATAAAACATTTTGATTTCTTATGTGACGCTATGCTAGAGTCAGTCTGGGATTCACTATCTTGCTGCTACAAAGTCTGGCTGTCAGTCTTAAGGTCTCTGTTTTGACATTAACGCTGCTCAGTCGTGCCTGAGTTCCACGGGGAGGAGGTGTAACTCGCGTGCCTGGCCACCCTTCCCATCATGGCCTGATTCTTCAGGTTGACTCTGGAATCCCCCGGCCGAGACTGGGCTCCATTCAGTCAGTGTGGGGGCTTAAAATTTCATTTTTATGACTTTTAGGAACACAGTGACTAATGAGCCAGTGCGGTAGGTCTGCACAGCTCAGACCTTTCCGATTGTCGCTTTGCCTCGGCTGTCCATTACAGAAACTGTGGCCACCTTGCTTTTGATGGCTGAATGCCATCACTCGGTCTCCCGCTCCAGGATCAATTCTTCCTAATGCATTTAAGTTTTCTAATTAAGTGGCTGTTATTTCCACTGTAAGGTCTGAGCTTCAGAGAAGAGCAGGAATGCCAGGGCTCCCCTTACAACTCTGTTCCTCAGAGTGCCGAGGCAAGGTCTGTCTTCCGGACCCTCCCAGAGAGGTGTGTAGGTCTTACATGGCAAATGCACTGCAGCTTTCCAATCTCCCTAAGCTTTTGAATCCCCCACAAGGTTAAACCATGGTAGGTCTGTTATTTCCAGTTCACTCACTGTCGGTCACCTTTTCAGCCAACGAACCAAACACACCGTTAGAAGGAGCTCTAGTCTTTCTAAGCCCCTCTCTGCTTGGTGGCCCCATGTCAACATATTCAGCCTGCTCCATCTTTATGTTCTTACCCCATTGTCCCACACCCTGAGTGTCCGTTCCCACGCATGTCCCCAGATGCCTGTCTGCATAAGTGAGAGAACTCTGGTAGTTCCTCTGGAGTGTGGCTCATCTCTTCCCAGGTTACACGGGGTGTCTCACCTTCAGGGGTCTGCAGGGCCATGAGTCTAGTTACAGGTCTCGAAGCAAAGGGATGGGGCAGGGAATCAGGTAATCTCACTTGGTGATCACCGTAGGGGAGGCTATGACTGTTTTCTCCGGCAAAACAGGTTCATACCCTCAGATGGAGAGGAAAGGCCAGTACCCCTGGAGGTGGGGAAGCCGCTTTCATTGACAAAGAAGACTCATCAGAATTCAGGGGCTCAGTGTCCCCAGCTCCAGCAGAGACTCTCCACACGTCCCCACCCCGATATACAGGATCCTACTGTTTCCCAGCCAGTGTCTTCACTTTAATTGCAGGCACCCTGTGAGGCTGAGAATTCAGCTCGTGTTGTAATTCAGTCGGTCACAGTATGAGGTTCTGTGTTTGATTTTCAGTGACGTTGGCCTTGGCTGCAGGAGATGAGGCTGTCCCTTGGAACATACTCAGAAGCTCTTAAGTCATCTATGTGGTGTGTGGTGTGCTTGGGCTGGGAATTTTTTTTTTTTTTTTTGAGACGGAGTTTCGCTCGTTACCCAGGCTGGAGTGCAATGGCGCGATCTCGGCTCACTGCAACCTCCACCTCCTGGGCTCGGGCAATTCTCCTGCCTCAGCCTCCCGAGTAGCTGGGATTACAGGCACGCGCCACCATGCCCAGCTAATTTTTGTATTTTTAGTAGAGACGGGGTTTCACCATGTTGACCAGGATGGTCTCGATCTCTTGACCTTGTGATCCACCCGCCTCGGCCTCCCAAAGTGCTGGGATTACAGGCGTGAGCCACCACGCCCTTGGGATGGGAATTTTAACCCTTGAGCACCTTCTTTCCTTGAATCACTTCTGTGCAGTGACATTAAGAGCAATGAACTAACATTACATTTTTTAATTTTCAAAAAACATTTCAAAACGTTATATACAGGGTTACTTAGCTCTTTGCTTCTTAAAAGTGGCTGAATGAAGTATCCAGTGCAAGTGTTTCGTGTATTTCTGACGCAGCTTACCTCGTGGTCCATCAGCACTCTTTACCGCTTGAAATGGAGTCATTCATGCCTTTTCCAAACCTTTTTTTTTTTTTTTTTTTGGTGGAGGCGGAGACTGGCTCTGTTGCCAGGCTGGAGTGCAGTGGTGCAATCTTGGCTCACTGCAAACTCTGCCTCCCAGGTTCCAGAGATTCTCCTGCCTCAGCCTCCCGAGTAGCTGAGACTACAGGCACACGCCAGCACACCCAGCTAATTTTCGTATTTTTAGTAGAGATGGGGTTTCTCTACCATGTTGGCTAGGAATGGTCTCAAACTCCAGACCTCCTGATCTGCCCACCTCAGCCTCCCAAATATCACCCACCCTGGCTCACACCTGGAATCTAATAGACTAATAGACTAGGGATCACTAATAGACTAATAGACTAGGGGAGCACTAATTCAAGAGCCCCTGAAACCAATCCAGAAAACTCATCCTTAACTTTCTGTTTTGCCAGAACCACCAAAATCTGTACTAGTCTAGGTTTTCCAGATTCGGGGTGCTGACCCCTATGCAGTTGAGAGTGTATGTACAACTTTTGACTCCCCCAGACGTTCCTAGTAGCCTACTGTTGACTGGAAGTGTTACTGATAATGGAAAGAGTCAATTAACACAGATTTTTGTACATGTATTACGCACTGTATTCTTACAAAGCAAGCCAGAGAAAAGAAAATATAATTAAGAAAATCGAGAGGCTGAGGCGGGTGGATCACAAGGTCAAGAGATCGAGACCATCCTGGTCAACATGGTGAAACCCTGTCTCTACTAAAAATACAAAAAATTAGCTGGGCATGGTGGCGCGTGCCTGTAATCCCAGTTACTCGGGAGGCTGAGGCAGGAGAATTGCCTGAACCCAGGAGGTGGAGATTGTGGTGAGCCGAGATCTCACCATTGCACTCCATTGGGTAACAAATTCCATCTCAAAAAAAAAAAAAAGAAAGAAAATCATAAGGAAGAGAAAATACGTTTACTCTTTGATATGGTTTGGCTGTGTTTCTACCCAAATCTCAACTTGAATTGCCATGTGTTGTTGGAGGGACTCGGTGGAAGATGATTGACTCAGGGGGTGAGTCTTTCCAGTGCTGTTCTGATGGTCAGTAAGTCTCACAAGATGGAATGGTTTTAAAAAGAGGGATTTCCCTGCACACCCTGCCTGTGTTTGTCTGCTGCCATCCATGAAAAACATGCCTTGCTCCTCCTTGCCTTCCACCATGATTCTGAGGCTTCCCCAGCCACGTGGAACTGTAAGTCCAGTTCAGCCTCTTTCTTTTGTAAATTGCCCAGCCTTGGGTATCTCTCCAACAGCAGCATGAACGTGGACCAATACACTCTCCATTAAGTAAAAGTGGGTTATCATGAAGGTCTTCATCCTCGTTATCTTCACGTCGATTAGGCTGAGGAGGAGGAGGAAGAGGAGGTGTTGGTCTTGTTGTCTCAGGGGTGGCAGAAGTGGAAGAAAATCCCCATCTAAGTGGACACTTAAAGTCCCCACCTGTGCTGTAGAAGGGCCCCTCCATATTCACGGGTTCCGCATCTGCAAATTCAACTGAGGATTGAAAATAGTTGAAAAAATAAAAAATAATAAAATGCAAATAAAAAGCAACATAGAATAACAGCTATTTACACAGCATTTACACTGTATGAGGTATGATTCCTAATCTGGAGATGATTTAAACTATGTGGGAGGATAGGCATAGGTTCTATGCAAATACTATGCCAGTCACATCCGGGCTCAGGCCTCCATGGATTTGGGGATCCTTGGAGCTGGGTCCTGGGGAATCAATCCCCTGTAGATACCAAGGGTTGACATTATGCATACATACATACATACATACATATATATAACACACAGATTGTGTGTGTGTGCGTGTGTGTGCGTGTGTGTGCGTGTGTGTGTGTGCGTGTGTGTGCGTGTGTGTAAAATGAAGAACTGGCTCCTGTGAAGGCTGAAAAGTCCCACAATCTGCCCTCTGCAAGCTGATCCAGGGGAGCCAGTGGTGTATAGTTCTGCCTGACTTTGGAAGCCTGAAAACCAGGAGCACTGACTGTGTGACTTCCAGACAGAGAGCAGGAGAACACTGATGTCCCAGCCCAACGGTGAGGCCAGAAAGGGAAGGAAACTCCTCCTTTGCCCACGTTTGTTGTCTTCAGGTCCTGAGTGCCCTGGATGAGGCCCCCACACTGGGAGCGGTGTCTTCTGCATGGAGCCCAGGGTCTCAGGGGCCAGTCTCAATGGGAAACACCTCACTTTCCCACCCAGAAACAATGTTTAGTCAGGGCGCCCCGTCGCCCGGTCATGTTGACCTATAGATTAAGCATCACACGACGCTGGGCCCCTTGTTGACACATAGATGAAGGATCACACAATGCTAGGCCCCTTGAGTCACAGGCTGGTGTGGTGAGTGTGCTGGAGGGGATGAGTGGCGTCTGGGGTTACCGTGGTGAGGGAATGAAGGGCTGGGGGCAGGCTGGGCTGAGATACGCTGTGTGCCACCTGCCTTTCTACCTGGGTCAATCATGCAGGAGCACACCTGGGAAGAGGAGGTGGGCCCATGCCCTGCCTTGCACCATCCGGCCCTGTCCCTGCACAGCAGGCCCCAGCCTGTTCCCTGGCCCCTGGCCCTGGGGCCTGCATCTCTGAGCTGGGTGACATCAGCAACCTGAACCTGCAGGCTTCGGGGCTCCCCACACTGTGGCCCTCACCTGCAGGACACTGGGCATTCAGTCTCCTCTGCTTAGAAGGTTCCCTCTTGCTCAACACACACGTGTGTGCACACACATATATGGACACACACACATGCACTCACACTCCCAGGCACACATGCATGTACACACACTCCTGGACACACACATGTGCACACATCCTCCTGGGCATACACACATGCACATACATTCCCAGGCACACATGCATGCACACACACTCCCAGGTGCACACACACATGCACACACACTCCCAAGCACACACACATATGTACACACACTCAGGCACACATATGCACACACACTCCCAGGTGCACACACGCATGCACACACACTTCCAGGCACACACATGCACACA